CTTTCTGCATCATGGTAATGCACACACACACACACACACACACACACACACACACACACACTATTCTAGGTTTTATCTTTGTTTTAAAATGCACCATACACTTAGACTCACTTTCCCTTTGTTTCTAAAAAGAATGGTTTCCTAAGATGAGGTATAGTATTTGTTTGTTAGAATTTTATTATAAAACTCCTTACTTGAAAAGGTGTCTGGGATGTTTACTATCTTTAATGGTAAGAATTTTGCAGCTAATTAAAGTGTCTGCTAGAAATCTTAAAAAAAAATTAACAGCTCAACGAAGAAAAACAGACAGGAGACTTTGGCCCCATTACCAGTGTCTCCTTTCGCTGTAACTACCTGAACCTACTTCACACCTTGCTCCTGAGACATATTACTGTGCTTCACATACAAGTGAGCTGCTTCATTTGTGTTTAAGATTGCATTATTTTAATGCTAATGTCATCTTAATAAGGTTTTAGAGGAAAGACAGAAATATATAAATAATATTTCTGTTATACAAACAACTGAGACTTTTATGAAAAAATTAAAAGAAAAGACATGGATATTCTCACCTAGAGGTGAGAGAGTAGAGAAAGAATTAAAAGCACATTGTGTTGATGAGCTTTTCAGGAATGTGGATTTACAAATCAGTATTTGCCTGATGAATTTAGAGCCTTGTAGATTTAGCCACTTGCCAACATTTTATATAGGGATTCATTAAAATTTCAGATAAAACTTAACTACCTACCATCATGTTTTTTGAATCTCCTTTATTTGACAAAACCACAAATTTACATTTCCTAGAAGAAAAAAAGGTAGTCAGTGCCTTAAAGACACTTTGGTGTTGAGGCAGCTCACTTCCAGGTCAGTTCTTGGGAAAGGAGAGATCACAGGGGGCAAAGCCAAGAGTGCAGGACTTAAAGGACAAGGAGCCCAACTGAGCTCCTGAGAGTTCAGTCAATGAAAACTTGAATTGCAGAAGTTCCATAATTTTCACAAAGTAAATGAAGAATTATAATATGAATTCTGTCATAAAATATTACAAAGCTCCGATGAGAAATGGACATAGGATAAAGATGAGCATTCCCATTGTGGTGTATCGCTTTCGTCAAAGAGAAGATACCTCAACTCCTCATTTGGGAACCACTGTCCCTCGTGAAGCTCAGGTTCTGCTTCGTCCACTTTGTGTTTAACAGTCATAATCTCTTTTGGGCTCTGGGTCTCTACACGGTTCTTCCCTCAAATATAATAAAACTTCTTGTGTGCAGATTGTGTTCTCCAGGCTGAAAACAATCCCTTCATAGATATCATGAGGGCACTGAATTTGAATCAGATGTCCTATTGAATCATGCTGGATCCTCTGAAGTAATCTGATTTTTCTTTTGCCAGTCATTTCAGTTTCTGCATTTAACTTTGTCAAATTAAAACTAATGGAATTCACTTCCTAAATCCCCTTGGCTTTCCATGGATTAACTTCACAGAAATTTCTTATACATAATATGGATTTTGTGCTTGACCTAATCCCACATCTGATCATGTAAAAATTAGAACCAAAGTGTCACCATAGGTTGAAATGTGCAGTTGTCATAATAACTTTTCCTTACTCTTTTTTTTTTTTAATCAGTAAGTGTATTTGGTACAGTTTAGGTATACAAAACAGTTACATTCATCATTGGGATTTTGTACCTTTACATGACAGATTTTGGTTCTTATTTTCCCCATTCCCCTGCCCTCCTTTCACCCCCTCCATCCTTCCCTATTTATGAAGACTTTGTTTCCGTGTTTTTCCTTTTCACATATTTTTTTCCTTTTCCCTTCTTACCTTTCCCCTACCCCTCCCACTTCCCCTACTCCTTTAGACCTTACTTTTTTTATAAACTTCTGTCTCCCAGTCATTTGGGGGAGTTTCTAGAACATGTAAAACACTAAAATCTTGTTAATGGGTGGCAATAAGATTTTTCAAAGCAAGTTTTTATTTTCATTGAAATTCATTTCTCTAGCCAAGTTATAACCTTCTTAAATGGCTATATTGCTTCTTCATGTGTACATAACAGAAAAAAAATATGCATGACTAATCAATTGTTGGTATTTATTTGCTTAGCATTTTATAAATATTTAGTTCATTTAATCCTGCCAATGAAGTCTATGAAACACAGAGCACTTTATCTTCATCTTGAAGAAAAAAACTGGTGAATACAGAGATCACTGACATGGCCCAAGTTACTAAATGCTAATACAGAGTAAGGACAAGTTCTCAAGATCCAAATGTCAAGCTTTTAAATTCTTCTGTTCTTCTGCCTCTCTTAAGTGAAGGAACTGCGCCCGTAAGATCCTGTTTAATCTATGACAGGAAGTAGTTCCCCCTGAGGGAGGATGGAATATATGAAAATGGATGTGATTTTTGCTATGCTCATATTTTTTTCTCATTACTCATTGATTTCAAGTAATATCATTACCAAGGCAGATAAGTCACTGTATCTTTTGGCCTTGCCCTGCCGTTCCTTTTGTTGCTTGCCCCAAGCTGAAAACGCTCAGTATCTACCAGCCTTGTTTTTCTTCAGAAGCACGAAAATCTCAAAATTGCGTGGCAGAGTCTTACTAAAAATAGCCGTCATGATCGGTTCCCTCTATTACGTAAGTTTCTGCTCAAATAAACTGAATTAGAGGCGTTTTCTTGACAGCACGCATCTATAGCAATGGATTTACTATGAAAAAGCGCAAGTTCAGAGGCTGAAACTGAAGACCAGGATGAGCAGATTACGACACACGTGGGTTGGCCGGGAGGAGGCGCGGACGGCTCCACAGTGTGTGGGTTTGTCCTCTGCTAGCAGCTTCGGCGCAGCAGGGCTTCTCCCCAGGAAGGCCAGCGCCTGGCCCTCCCTCGTGACTTTGTCATGGTGATGTCAGCACAGCCTACTGTGAGAGTTTTCTGCATCCCACTGACCAAGTCATGACCGAAACACCAGCAGATTCTCGTGAGGGGAAGTTCTGCCACCCACAAGGTCCAGGCTGCCGACAGAGAAGGAAGGAAAGTGGAGCCTGGGCTGCAGATCCAGAATGTTACATCTCTCGCTCTGTGGCCTCCATTTTGTATTTCATGGCTAACAGATGCTAATTCTTGAATATAGGTAGATAGGTAGGTAGGCAGATAGATGGATACCACCGAAAATGGGAACGTCACTTCAGGAAAACTTTTAAAAAATGAATATTTTAATACTAACTTTATTGAGACGTCATGAGATCAATACAAGGTACCTCTGTCCTCTACGATTACAAAAGGTTCTCAAAGTGGTGGCCAGGGGTTTGCAGACATTTATTAGTCCAGCAAACTGCTGCTTGGGTGACCTTGGCGTTGAGACTGCTGCACACGTAGTTTCAGTTTCTTCTCTAGGGGCCGGCACCGCGTGGGTTTTCTGTGCTACACAACATCTTCTAGGGTCCCACATAGGAGGTAACACCATCTGTTGAATAAACATCATACTGTTTTTCTCTTCCTGAAGTGTGTATATATTTCTGGAGGACTCTGTAAATATAATATTTGCTATGTAAAATATATGATCACATTAAATAAAGTATAATCTATAAATAAACATATAACATATCTGTTTGCACAATATATCATTTACGCTGACCTCATCTAACTTAATGGCTCTTTGTCTCTTTTATGTATGCATGTGTATTCAAATTTATTATCTCTTTCTTTGTGTGCAAGTTATTGGGTTCTTTATTATTCTACCAATAAAGATAATATTTTATATGTATTACAAATTTATTAATAGTTTAAGTTATAAAAAGATCAATAAAATGGCAACATTCATAAAGCAAATTAAATAAATATTATTCATCATTCTTTCTCTTAAACGATATCATAAAGAACTGGAGGTAATAAAATTAGCACATAAGTGTGTAGGCTGCGTTTTAAATAATCTTTGCAACTCCCAGGGCTCAGTGTAGCGCCTGCCAAAGTAAAGAGATGGGGAAAAACAGTGAATGGATAATGAAACAATGGAGGAAAACAAGATGGTGCAAGCGCTATGCAGTGCTGATAGCGAAACTGCCAAGCCTTCATGGTCCTCATTTTAAGAGTGGCTGTATAGTGGGGAAAAACAATGTCCTCTGTAGCTCAGAAAAGTCAAGCAGTTGCTTAAACCTACAGAGGGAAAGAGGTGAGATGATGCCAAACATCTTGCAAATCTGAAGTCATTTTGCTTTTCTTTGAATAGCACCATTTTGGTGTTTGAAAGGGCAGAAAGATATGATTGGACACAGTTAAATGGAACTGAGACTTACAAATAGAAATATAGTGAATGCTGGTGTATTAACCCTCTTGGGTTGCCATAAGAAATCACCACAGACTGGGTATGCAACATAAATTTACTTTTTCGCACTTATGAACATAGGCAGCACCAGCTTTAGATATTTAAATCTGGTTACTAATGAAGACTCTTCCTGGTTTGGTGACAATAGATGCTCACCGTGTCCTCATTTGGCTGTTCCTCCTGGTAATGAGACAAGGAGGGCAGTGAGAGATGCAAGTCTACTTCTCTTCTTAGAAGGTTCTAGGTCTTATGGGACTAGGGCTCCACCCACAAGACCCCCTTTAACCTTAGCTACACCCCTCATGGCTCTGTCACTAAATATGGATCTATTGGGCACTAGGTTTGTGTATGAATTGAGGAGGAAGATATGTTTTAGTGCCTAGTGAAGAGCAATATAACGGGATGAGAGAAGTGACAAATAATTTCAAGAACCATAGGTGGATCTTTGGGAAAAAGTGTTTTAATGAAGGGAAACATTGAGTGTACATTTATTTACTCAGAAATATCATTTTCTTCATATTAATAGATCAAGTGACTTGTGATACTTTATTTTTAACCTTCATTCTAAGTAAAACTTACAGAATATTTTTTTACATTTTTATTTCTTGCCAATGAATGGCAGGTGCTTACAACAGAGAAGGAGCTAATATAATTTATTAAAAACATTTTTCTTGCACATTACAGGCCCAACAGCTTACTGACTTGGAACAAAAGTTAGCAGTAGCCAAAAACGAACTGGAAAGAGCTGCTCTCGACAGGGTAAGTTCACATTCACGAACCAACACACTTTGGTTTCAGCAAAAAGTGCTAGCTTCTGCTCATGGCTTTCTTGGATTTATTAAAGCAGTTCCAGATTCAATGCATATAAGATGGTTTTAGAATTCATGAATAGTTGATGTTCTCCTTAGATTCCAAATTTTGTTTTTCTTGCTACAATAAATTTGCTGAAGTTTCAGTCCCTGTGAGTTCCCAACTACATTTTTTACCTCACTATGACATTATTCTTTAAAAATTATAAAGAAACATTCGTTAAAGCATCAACTGAAATGTCCAGTATTAACTTCTGTAATATTGCCCTTATGTAAAGAGGTTAAGATGAACAGAAATACCTAGTGAATTTTCATTTGTCTGGAAGCTATATATTAGAGCCACAGCTGTCTTTACAAGTTACAGTGCCCCCCATTGCCAGAAGAAAAAACACATTGTTTTCTCAGAAAAATACTAAAATGCACACAGGTCATGTAACCTTAAAACATCCTCGCCACCATAAGGTCACACATAACAATAATTTCCCATGAGCTTTCCATGCAATCCAACAAATATGCTAGTAGTTTAGTAGCTGAGGAAATAATTTTCTTATATGTCTAATAGACACAGTATAATTCAAAAAACATTTTGTTATTCTCTCTCTGCAACAGAATATAAAACAACCTGTTCCTTCTTATGCATTTTCTTTATCCTTTTATTTAACAAAACAACTTTTGAGTTAGAAACTGGTAATGATGCAGAAAATATACCAACCTTCAAAGATGTTGCATTCAAATTGGCAATTTCAGATGATAGCAAGACCCTACATAAGACATAACATTAGGAAACGTGGTAAAGACTTTAACAAAAATGCTTCCTGAGGACCACAGTCAGGATCTATTGCAAGAAAATAATCTAGGAGCTGAACATGTGAGCGATGAAATTGAATACTTAAGGCTTCTGTGGGCAGAGAAAACTACTCTCATAAATGCTCTAAACTGGGAATGAACTTGAGACACTTGAAAAACCATAAATAAGGGACATTATGAGAAACAGGCATCTTAGCTAAGAAATTTATGTTTTATTAGCATGTGGCAGAAGAAGTGGAAAAGTAGTTTGGTACAGCCAGGAGGAAAGAGCAAAAACAAGACTGACCTTAGGAAAAAAAATACATTTTAAGCTTTAGCGGGAAATACACTACATAGGAGATGCATCATATTTCACTCAGGAATGTCTTGTTCCAGCAAACTTCAAACTGATGAGGGGCCTGAAGTTTCAATGTCGAATGCACCTATATATGGAAATGTATATAAGTGGAAATGTAATACACTATCAACGAAAATGGAATGGCACTGTGGCGTAAAATCTTTATCAGGGTCCTGCTCATGGAATTGAGTCCAGCCAAATCCGAGTAGGACCAGCAGCAGACTCTTTTAAATTAGAGGCACTTAATGGAAGTTAGGTAGAAAAATGACCAAGTTAAGGCAGGTTGCTGACAGCAATCCATGTTCTCTGGCAGGAAAAAAATCTCTAATGCAATCAAGGAACTGAGCCAGAATCTAAGAGGCTGCAATTCATGCTTGCAGCGCAAAGAAAGTAAACCAGAGTGGAAAGGTTAAGAGTAGATTAAAAAATAAGAGCACAGGTAGCTAAGTATGACAGCCATGAAAGACACAGAGAGGAGAACTCATTTTGTCACGTTGACTCTGATAATCTGGGGTTATCCTGGCAAGGTCAGAAGGCCTGCAGGAGAAGATAATCGCTCTCAATTTCAGATATTTTAGAACCTAACATATGTGTATATTCCCTTCAGTCTGCATTGAAAAATTGTTTTGCCTAAAATGTATTCACTAAAAGTCCATCTTTGCAAGCATTACCTGATACCGTTCATTAGTCTGAACATCTGAGTTCAGCCATTACTCACATTCAGACCTCTCTGTTGCACATATTGATCAGGCCTCTCACAGTCTGAAGTTTTGGATAGCCAGTGCTAAGAGCACCCAAGACGAAGCGCAGTAGAGTTCACACATATCACCGCTCCCTGCGGGATCTGAACCTTGGCAGCCAACATTTCAAACGCATATAAATGTTAGTACTTAGCTCAAACATGCCTGACTCTGTCCCAGTGCTCTCTCTGCTGACTCAGTAAAGTTTTCAAAGGAGAAAACATTTACCCAGCTCAGAGCCGTCTGGATTATTTAGCTCCTGACACAGCAGCGTCATGTCCTAGGACTGTGGAGAGAAAGAAGGGTCCTTCAACATTGCCCCGATGGGCCCAGAGAAAAATAATGAGAAGCAGGGCGGCTTTGCTGCTTGCTTTTGGAAATGACACGCTTTCCTTACCGACATGCCGAAGCAGCATTCTCACTTAATTTTTCTTAAATTCTTTTTTCCAAATATGTCTGTTGAACCCTCCTAATGTATCAGAAACTATGTCAGTTGTTGGCACAATTAGATGCACATTTGTGATACGTTACAAAATGGAAGCAAATAGAGTAGGTAATAAAAGTAACGGTGCAGAGGAGAGTGCAGACCTGGGTAGAAGGGCAAACGCACCAAGGGGCCATCTTTGTTGTTGTTACTGTTTTTGTTTGGGGTTTTGCTTTGTTTTGTTTTGTTTTGTTTTAGTACCGGGGATCGAACTTGGGCCTCCCTGTGCTTGTGAGGCAGGCGGTGGAACCACTGAGCTAAATCCCCGGCCTGGCCATTTTTATTTCTTACATTTTGACTACCATTGAAGGTAGTCACTTCGCGCCCACTTAACAGCACTCTTCTGCCCTCTCCTTGCTGGTTTCTTATTCCCTTTTAGAGAAGGTGACAGAGCCAACGACATGAGGAGGGAATGCACGCCTGTATCAGTGCAAGCGCGTTTTCAGTTGAGTGGATCCCTACTGCTTGAAAAACCTTCCACCCAAAGAGAGAGATTTCTGACTTCACCCTGGATCAGCAAGCTCAGCGTCGGGGTTTAGCACAGCTCTGTTCCGCAACTGACGCTGAGGGCTCTTTTGTGAGGAAATAAATAAGAGAGATTTCTGGGTGAATTCACATTCCTGACACAGAATATAAAATCCATCTGTTTGCCCAGCTTGTTTTTCTTTTCTTTTTCTTTTCTTGTCTTTTTTTTCCCAGATCCCGCGCCTGCATTGATGCATGCATGCACTAAGTGTGATTTCCACGTGGTCCCATTTGTCCCTTGATCTGGGCCCGACTTGTTGATCTCTTTCTTCTCTTTCGTGGTCAAAAGGCAACATCCTACGTCCCTAAATGGGTGTTAATGTGGATTATCAGTTCATGTCCCGGTCGCTCCTCGGCTGTCCGTTAACTTTTCTTAAAGGTTTTCTGTCTCTCGTCAGTTTAGTAACAGGCAATCTTTGTGTCATTTGTACTCATCTTTTCATTCATCGGATGAACACGTAACAGTTTCAGCAGCAGAAAGTGGAAGAATTAGAGATACTTATCTACCTTCAGCCTACCTTGTGGTTTAGCTCCGAAATTCTGGGAAAACTGTCCTTTCTTTTACTTAGAGTAAATGCTAGTAATTGTGCTAGTTTCACAGATGTTTACAAGCATAAAATGATTCCTTGCATATGAAAATGCACGAATTATTGTGATATACAAGTAGGAATTCCTATAACCACTTCAGGTTAAATTCTATTACCCAAGAAGGTGCTGAGGCACTGACAGCTACATCAGAGGCACATTTCTTGTTCTGGTGACATGGGGAGGTGAAGCAGCTGTAGGGAAATCTAAGGAATATAGGGGTCTTGCGTATGCTTCTTTTGCAGCAAACCATCGTGATCGAAATTGCAGCAATCAAAGTGAACAGAAAGATTTAGCTCTAAGTTTTGACCTTCAAAATATATCAGGGACACATTAGCCCTTAGAAACAGATGAGGTTTAAATTAAGTAGGGTGTCATAGTAAATTCCTAATTTAGGCAATTGCATTTGAAAATTGGTAGGCATTTGCACGGCAGAGAAGGTAGGATAGGAAAATAGAAGTAGAAAATGATTTGAGCCTAATGTATAAATGTTAATTTCCCCCCACACCCCCACAGGAGTCACAGATGAAAGCAATGAAAGAGACTGTGCAGCTCTGTCTGACCTCAGTTTTCCGCGACCAACATCCGCCTCTGAGTCTGGTCACATCCAACCCTGCCCAGCTCTCCCTTTCACCCAGGACGTTTGCAGGGAAGACTCCAGAAGCAAGGACAAAGAGCCAGGTACATCCATAATTTGAGAGTGATGTTAAGTGAAGTACAGTTTCGAAGGGACATTTTGCATGTCCCAAAAGGACCTTCTGGGACAGAACATCATGGAAAGACGAGGAAGTACTGGTAGAGAACCAGTCTGAAAAGGCCCGTGGTCTGTCAGAGGACACTGGAAGACCATGTTTTCATGGCAGTCTGACCTCCTCCTCTCCCTTCCCTTTATGCTGTTTCTTCCCATTTCACATCATCTATTATACATATCGATCCTTATTTACACTTTTCAGTTTCTCACACCTGAGAAACTATTCGGTATTTATACGTATGTCCTGTTTATGCCACTTAAGAGTAGGGCCTCACTGTGCATCCATTTAGCTCTAAATGTCTCTAGTTTCTCATTCTTTATGACTGAGCGGTACTCCGTGTTTACAGCTGCACAGTTTGCAATAGCTGAAACGTGAAAATAGCCCAATTGTCCATCAACTGGAGACTGGACAAAAAAGATGTGGCTGTTTTATAAAACCGGGCAATAATTTTGAAAGAGCCATCTCTCTGAACACTTGCTTTTAAAATGAGAAACATGGAAACTAGCCTGGCTCCGACATGCTCGCTGGGCCGCTAGAAACCTGAGACCGCTGATGGCAGCAGGCTCCGGTGGAGGTGGGTGGTACCTTGGGACTTTCACAGTGATTACTGCTGGAATTCCCTGTCCTTGAAAGAAAGGGATTAAGGAATATTCATAGATTAGGAAGATGCTGTTCTCAGAGGGAGAGTCAAAAATAAAAATAGCAAAATAAATTTTGTAATATTCTTTCTCTACTACTTGTCAGTTTACAACTGCATATTTTTAATTCATGCAATCTTATCATAGAACATTGACTTATTGCTTTGTAAAAATCATTTACATTATTTCCATTTCACTATATGACTATCTTTGGCCTTTTTTATGTACCGAGGGACCTCTAAAGTATTTGAAGCCAGTGTTTTTCTCCTTCAGTTTTTCTTTTTTCTCTGAAAACGAAGTTCAGTGTTACTTCATTTCAGCAAACTCCAGTGCATAATCGAGTGTTGTTTCGCACCCACCCGGAAAATTCCTGGGTATTTCCAGGAAGGTGAGAAAAATGCACAGCGGCCACACCGTCTCAGCTCTCGGGCCAGGAGCTTTATCCTGGCACCTCCCAGAGCGGGTGTCTAAGCCAGAAACAAAGTGGCTCAGCCCCATGAAATCCGAACCCTGAATGAGATGGCTTTGCGGTCCCAGGGCAGTGTGACATTTGTCCAAACCAATGTATATTTATTTAAGCCCATTATTAAAAGTGTGTTCTTCATGATCCTGAATATGTAGAGGAAATTACTAATTCTTGATCTTCTATGAATCCATATATCTCCTATCATTGAAGTGCATAAATACTGATTATTTGGCTTGGCTTTATCAAAGAAAGTGAAAGGATGGATTTCAATGAGCCCAGCTCGGAAATGGATCATTTTTTCAAAAACCAGTAACAGACACATCCAGGTGTTGAAGATCGTGCTCAACAAATCTAAGTCAACGTAGCAGAGAGCACCCTGTTTTACAGGCTAGCATTAAAAGCTGGTCTACCGTTAACACTTTCCAGGGTTCTCCGTCTTTTTCAGCGTCAGAAATTGTCATTTATGTGTGGTCGGGGGTTCAATCTCAGTAACCTCCGAGCACATAATATCTTCGGATCCTGAGTAATATAGAATGTGTGGTTTTGTATAAGAAAAGCAAACATTTCAGGTAGTGTGTATTTATTTATTTATTTATTTTGGTGGCGGAGATGGAACTCAGGTCCTTCGGTTTGTGAGGCAGGCGATGGGACCCCTGGGCTCAATCCCTGGCCCTCAGCTACGGTTTAAGGATGGACCCAACTCAACTCAATGCCATAGGGCCTGACTTCACTGTCCCAGGTGGCACATTCAATAGACATGACCCCTCACTTTTTCTCTGGGACCTCAGAGTGGATCTCGGAGAGTTACTGGGAGGTGCATATTACAAATAAGGACTTTTTTTCCCACTTATTTTCCAAGATCTCTAGGCAATTACATCGCCTGTTATTTTCTATTTATAATTTTAAGTCCTGCTTTATAGGGACATTTGAGTGTTTTTTTCCCCCAAATCTATAGAACACAGCTAAATTAAAAAGTAGAGTTGCATACAGAAAAGGATAGAGTACCCCATGCAAAATACTGTTTTTATTTATTCAAGGATATTGGGAATACAGGTAAAATACACTTAAATATTCGTCTATGCATTAACGTACTTGAACATTAACAGTACAATATATAAATGTATGTAGTGCATATATATAAATGTATATAATTAATATATATAATATATAGAAATACATAGGAACATGCATTATATATAGTGGATTTAACACATTGTGGGTTTGAAAAGCATGAGGCCATCAGCCAGACAGTTCCAAATTAGAAGAGTTTTCTGGAGAAAGCTTGTGAGTGACTTAAGCATTGAGAGCCACACCTCTTTTACCTTCGTACTTTATTCCGTTCCTCCTTTGGTACTGCAGCATGTGTTTCCGCTGGGAGACCTCAAGCCTAACAATTTCCCTTCCATCATTACATTTTCCGTAGTTGCTATGCCTGCTTCTCTCTGATTTGAGGACACTATTCTTCACAGTTCTAGTAAATTTCATTCCTTCCCCCAGTGCTGACAGCGGAGTGTTCAGTACTCTTTGACCTTGGTCGTCCCCCCTGGGCAGGGGTGTCTGCACCTCCCTCTCTCTCAGGGAAAATGACTCTGCTGGGTTCTGCCATCTGCTTCACATTTTTTGGGCCCAGAACAACTTCTCAGGAGAATTCCTTTGAAATGGCCCTGACTGTGTGCCTGCCTCTTACTGGAGATTTTATGTGTCTAGTAGGTAGGAGAGAATATATTGCTGAGTGTTGATTAAGTGCTTTACATTCAATAAATTGTTATTTCACCCATGTGGCACATTTAATCGACCTGATCCTCACATATTGTACATTACAACCCAGTTTCTGATTTCTAGGAAACTAGAAGAATGCAGAGGGTGTTCCTGGCAGTAGACTAAAACATCTCTTATTTTTTCATTTAAAAATTATTGGTATCTAGAATTCCATATTCCAAATGTCTTTGATTAAAGATAAGGAAAAGGGAATAATTTGTTCTAAGTGCATATGAGACAGCATATCTGTAACACCCATGTGAAGAGATAAAGGTAAATATTATAATTATGTTTCCTTTAAAAGGCAAAACTGTAAACCAGGAAATCTGTTTTGCGTTTTGCAAAAATGATCCCAACTAAAGCAGAAACAAACAAACCAGTGACAATTCACCTCACTGTTCTGTGCCAGAGATGAGGGTGACTTGAGTCAAGTGTGAGATCTGGACACGGGTTACAAGATGTCACTGAGTCACAGCCCTTTCTTGTATGGGGTGCTTGAAGGAAGGGACCAAGAGTAACCCTCCGTGCCTACATTCCTTCACTGGAGGGGTGGAGCTGTAAGGCAAAGCCATGGTGATTGATTTCTACATGCTAAGATTTTGGTCTCTGTCATAAAACCAAGTATCTTTGTCCACTATGCGATTATGCATTTTAATTTGGAGTTCAGGGAGAACAATGGAGCTGAGATTTAGTATTTGAAAGTATCTCCATAAATTTCAATTAGGTGACAGCAATAGGAAAACATTACCTGAAGAGACTCTGTACAGTAAAATGAGATGAAAACCACACAAAATAGCAAAGATGAAAAATAGCTTATGGATGATAGAATATATAAACTGAGAGACTGAAGGTCTACAGTGAAAGTGCCTGTCTTCCCCTTATCTTTTGCTGTTATCCCAGGCCTATTTTATGCCCATTTTAATGGTACAGAAAGCAGAATACACATGTGCTGTGTGCATTTAGAATAGAGATTCCTCTGGGGGATGTGCTCGAGCTGGTTTATGCATGTATCTGTTAAACACAAGCTTTCTTAAGCATGCATTAGATACACCTAGAATTGAGTAAGTTTTGCTAAAAGCAGTGGAGAAAATGCTAAAAGCTACTACAAGGGGCTATTCTCTGTGTTGTTGAAGACTGTGTATCTTTTGGATCTGTACCATGGGAATGTTATAAGGATGATGTATTACTGTACCATTTGTTCAGGCTTATTTTCACAGGCAGCTCATTGGTAGACTGCAATGCGTCATTCTGCACCAGACTTTGAAACCTAAATCAGCATACTCTTTAGACACAGAGCTACTGAATTGTATGCTATGCTTTTCTGTATGTGTGAGTATGTGATACATTTAAGACCAAACTACTGCCTATCATAAATAATATTTGAATGATACAAGTTCAATGGATTCACTTTTATTCTGATTAATGTTATGCTGAGATGGAAAATTGTAGTCAGGAAAAGCAAAGTGATTGTTAAACAAAATATTTACTTAATGCCATCTGAAAAGCTAATTGATTTTTGCATTAGCTGTAAACTTTTTATTAATTGTATGCATTTTACTAAAAATATTAAATACAATACTACATAATTTGGAAAGCATATAAATGTAGATGAAAGAACCTCAATTTGCTACCAAGAGTTCTACAACTTTTAGATGAAATTAGGAATGAATGCAGTAGTAATTTATTTTATAGCTTTAATTGCATAACACAGATTTTTTTTTTTTGTACTGGGGAATCAAACAGGGGTCCTTCTGCTTGAGAGGCAGGCAATGAAACCACTGAGCTAAACCCCAAGCCCTGCATAACATAGAATTTTAAAAAGGAGGATTTGCTATTTTATTTTTGCCTGTTTTCTAATTTTGATACCTTGTTCAAATTACTTGAGTCTTCTTAGACTCATTCTCTGTATCTGTAAATCCTTATGTAAATCTAAGAAGTCATGTTTATGTTCAGAGCAAGTATTATTGTTGCTTATCCTATATATCCCAAGAGGAAAACCACCAGTATCCATTTAGGTTTGTTATGTTTTCACAAGCATCTCTTGGATACTCTTGTAATGGTAATGAC